GGGGGCAAAATTAGAGAAGTATGTTATATCAATATGGGTGGCAACTAGAGCTGTAGAAACAGGTGAAATGTGATACAGAACACTGATACCCATCCTTAAAGATATTTAAGTATCTTTTGCTGTTTGAGTTTGTGATGGTCTCTGAAATATTTTAGTATTGCATATCTTTTCCTTTCCAATAAAGGTCTATCTGTAGAATGTTACAATGATTATGTTAAAGTGAAAATTGTTTTGTGCTTTCAAACTGGAGTTGGCATACACTGAGAGATAAGTGGGAAGGATAGTTTATATTCTACAGAAGTAATACAATTAAAGTTAGTCATGGCTTTTGGAGGCATACAAACTTAGGTGCAGATCTTCTCCATCAACTAGGGTAATCTTTGATAAATGTATTTAACTTCTCTGAATCTTGATTGTTTGGTTAGGTATCGGAAATGATTCCTACTGAAGATAGCTCAGAAGCTAAACATCGAAATTTAAGTTAACTCAAATGTTAGGTATGGATCCTGAAGCTATTTATCTAACTTATTTTATCTATTTTTCGTCATACTAATTTTCCTTCATGGTAGGAAACATAGTAATCTCTTCTAAAGCCAATACATTGGATGACCATTATTTTATTCTTTTGTTCAGAAGCCAGATCATTATGTAGTCTTTTATTAGTTTTTCTATCATCTTTATCATCTACACGAGTTGTTGTTAGGATTCAACAAAAATACTTTAAAATTAAGAAATTCATTTACTCCAGGGTAGACATTCAGAAGATATTTAAGTTCTGTTTAGATTTATAAAATTGAACCAATTTTACTTGTACTTAAGATAAAAATGCAAGGTAAAATATTGAAATTTGCAATATCTATTTCATTGCTTATTATAATCAGATAAAGAAGAAAAATATCTATATTAACACTAATTTATGTTAATTATTTTAAAATTGTAGCCTTGATCTCAATTTGGAACTACCGCAGGGTCAAACAGGATCTGTTGGCACAAGTGTTACTTCGACAGAACAGGTAGAGGTTGGATTTTATCTTAATTGGATTGGTATGTACTTGATGTGCACTTAAATAATTTAGGAAACATTTTTAGATAGCTATTCATACAAATTAAACATTTTCTATATCCATAGAAAATATATATCTAGCCTTTTTCTTTTATAAAGAATATTTGTTTTTATAATGTTAAACCATTATAAGTTAGCAAAATACAATTAGCCTTTAGCTCTGTAATAATGAGATTTTTCTATTTGCATTCACATTTTATTTAGAGATTGATTTTTCTCCCCCTTGATAATGTTTTTTATTAAATTCACCAATTCTTTTGAAATGTTTTAAAAATTAAACTCTTAATACTGTTTTTTATGTAAAGCAAGAGTTTTAATCTTATTTAAAATGTAAACTATTTAAAATGTTAGTGAATTGTAATTGTCACTGTCTTGACTTGTAAAATTTGCTTTCTCCAGGATGAACTATCACAGAGACTTGCTCGTCTTCGTGATCAAGTGTAATTCAAAGAACTGGTGCTTCTGTTTGCTTCACTTGCTTATGAAATGTTCTTTGTGTGTATAGATAGATAAATTGCACTCCAATTAACACTAAAAGCAGTATATATTCCAGAATGATTAAACATTAATTGTAAGTAATGTTTTCTTTTGCCTCTAATACATTAAGAAATTCCAAGAAATTTCCACCTTGACAGATTTTATAGTTCCGTATACTATGTGTAAAAGTGTGAAGGACATATTTTTATAGATGTCTTTGTCAGATCTAGATTTAGCTTCTTTATTGAACATCTTCTTCAGAAGTGGATCAGAAATTTAGTACCAAAGTGCTAGTGAGAGTAAAGAACTTTAGGCAGAATAAATTATACCATAAAGATTTTTTTTCTAATTTAAAGTAATTTTTAATTTCTGCAGTGATGTGATACATGAAAATAATAGCAGGGAAAGCATGTTTACATAGCCAGAAACACCTCATTTGGTATCAAACAATGGACAATGCCATTTTGTATGTTTCATGTTTGTTTTTGTTATCTAGGCAGAAATGTAGTTGACTTATAATCTGTGTTCGTCAGCTTTTAAATTTTAATTTTAATTTATTATAATTTTAACCCAGTAATTTAATGACTATATTATTTGAAACCCTGTAGTTTTGTTTTGTTTTGTTTGTTTGTTTGTTTGTTTTGCAGGGTGAGGTTTTTGCTATAGGGCACTTGTAGTCTCCAGGAAGACAGAGAGACAGAGAGAGACAGAAAGTGAGAAATCACCCCCCAAGGGGGGATGGCCACACTACAATCCCTTCTCCTCTCAGGATCTTGGGCACTCATGCACTTGCACCTGACGTGGATTTAAGCCACCAGGTCTGGGACTCGAACACGGTTGACTACATGGGAGTACAGTGACACAGTCATTACACCAACTGCTAGTCCTAAAGCCCTATAGATTTTAAAAATGTTTCATTGATCATTTTCTGTATATCCAGAGAAATTCTGTAACATTAAATCAAAGAAATTGCCCATTTTAAAATTTTCTCTGTACTAGATATCAGGGTCATTAAGACTGTTGGAAAAAATGTTACTGTTCATTCTTTGAAATTAAATTCTGAGGCATATTTTTGATGATTGTCTTGTTTCTACCCAACTCTTATAATTTTATATTTTAAAAGGTTAATTTGCATGGTATTAATATCATTTACATTTTTCTCTATTGATTTTTAGTAATGTCTGTGACTTTAACCTATCCAACACAGTAACAACAAAGAAAACAAAATTGAATCAACTCAAGTTACAGTTGTTATAAGTCCTGTTTAAATGTGTTCACTCTTTTATCTTAAAATAGTTATTTAATAACTGGAAAAAATAAACTGGAAATAAGTTAAAATGTTTTGCTCAGCCATACAAATAACTTCCAACCCAGTGGATGGTGGGAACATACTGGGTGGGGATGTACCAAAGTCATAAAGCTGTAAAGAACAGACTCTCGAAGGCTAGGATCCTTGAGGGAAAGCTTATGATGACCAGCTATATATACTACTTGTCATCTCTCCATTAATATCTATGTTTTACCCAGCAAAAATGCACAAATATCTGCCTACTATTTTCTAATATGACAATCTCAAATGTGGAGAAGTGACCATATTTTAGCAAGTACACTACTAATCTAGGCTAAGTATGTTAGGTGTTTTTCCTTATTTACTGCAAGATTGATCTATGAAGGGATTCTATTATTTTGTGACTTTTTTTTTTTTGAAGAACAAATTTGTTTAAAAAATCTTTCATTGTAAGTCTGAAGGCATTCAAAGTGCAATTATGGAGAGACTTTTTTGTTAAGTATTCACTATCCATATATGTTTCCTATCATGCATTAGTGTGTTTATGAGTGAAGACTATATTCATTGGCTAATAAAGTAAGAAGTTGCTCTTTTGCCAAATTTAGATTAAACCTATTTAACGTGGATGGTACTTTGCCTCAATGTGCGAGAATCTTTCATTTTGTTTATAATTGATGTTTTTTTTTACCTTTTGAGTCTTTTCTATTTAAAGGCTGTTTATTTGTTTAAATTAAAACTTCCTGGGGAGCCATAGCAGAGATTTTATAGACCAATTTATCTATGGGATACAGCTTTTTATTTTCCATTTCTGGGAGTTATGTAGCCTTTGTCCTCCTATAAGAATTGTTAAGTTGTGAATACTGCTTATTTAAATCTAAAAATATAAATTATTCTGATCTAAATATATCTGCTTATACTTTTATTAATAGCCATATCAGACTTGTCTTTTTTTTTATTTTAATTTGTCAGAGGGCTCATGTGCTCGTTGGAGAGAGGCAGAGAGACCAACTGAAAGAAAAAGAGAAAGCATCCCCATCATGGTAGAAGATCACACCACAATCCTTTCTCCTCCTTTTATCCCTTCATTCAAAATTTTGAACACACAAGCACACACAGCTGGCAAAATTATTCTGATCTAAATATATCTGCTTATACTTTTCTTAATAACCATATCAGACTTGTCTTTTTTTTTATTTTAATTTGTCAGAGGGCTCATGTGCTCGTTGGAGAGAGGCAGAGAGACCAACTGAAAGAAAAAGAGAAAGCATCCCCATCATGGTAGAAGATCACACCACAATCCTTTCTCCTCCTTTTATCCCTTCATTCAAAATTTTGAACACACAAGCACACACAACAAATAACTTCCAACCCAGTGGATGGTGGGAACATACTGGGTGGGGATGTACCAAAGTCATAAAGCTGTAAAGAACAGACTCTCGAAGGCTAGGATCCTTGAGGGAAAGCTTATGATGACCAGCTATATATACTACTTGTCATCTCTCCATTAATATCTATGTTTTACCCAGCAAAAATGCACAAATATCTGCCTACTATTTTCTAATATGACAATCTCAAATGTGGAGAAGTGACCATATTTTAGCAAGTACACTACTAATCTAGGCTAAGTATGTTAGGTGTTTTTCCTTATTTACTGCAAGATTGATCTATGAAGGGATTCTATTATTTTGTGACTTTTTTTTTTTTGAAGAACAAATTTGTTTAGAAAATCTTTCATTGTAAGTCTGAAGGCATTCAAAGTGCAATTATGGAGAGACTTTTTTGTTAAGTATTCACTATCCATATATGTTTCCTATCATGCATTAGTGTGTTTATGAGTGAAGACTATATTCATTGGCTAATAAAGTAAGAAGTTGCTCTTTTGCCAAATTTAGATTAAACCTATTTAACGTGGATGGTACTTTGCCTCAATGTGCGAGAATCTTTCATTTTGTTTATAATTGATGTTTTTTTTTACCTTTTGAGTCTTTTCTATTTAAAGGCTGTTTATTTGTTTAAATTAAAACTTCCTGGGGAGCCATAGCAGAGATTTTATAGACCAATTTATCTATGGGATACAGCTTTTTATTTTCCATTTCTGGGAGTTATGTAGCCTTTGTCCTCCTATAAGAATTGTTAAGTTGTGAATACTGCTTATTTAAATCTAAAAATATAAATTATTCTGATCTAAATATATCTGCTTATACTTTTATTAATAGCCATATCAGACTTGTCTTTTTTTTTATTTTAATTTGTCAGAGGGCTCATGTGCTCGTTGGAGAGAGGCAGAGAGACCAACTGAAAGAAAAAGAGAAAGCATCCCCATCATGGTAGAAGATCACACCACAATCCTTTCTCCTCCTTTTATCCCTTCATTCAAAATTTTGAACACACAAGCACACACAGCTGGCATGATTTTCAAGCTGCTGGGTCTAGACTCAAACCGTGCAGTTGGTTGTGTGGGATCTAGCTACCTTCACCACACCATGGGCTGGCCCCAGACTTGTCTTTTAAAAACACCAGGTTTTACTTTTGGTTTTGCTTATTGTTTATCTTATAAATGTAATAAAATTTTTATTAGACTTTTTATTTTTAATCCAGTAGCTCCACAGTCTATGAACTTTTACCTTTTTAGTGCGTTTCTAATTTGATAATTGATCTAATAACTGAAAAGTAACATGTGTCACATTATATGACAGTAACAAATGACTATACACATTGCCTAACACTGGATACTATCATGAAATTTATATTATTAGCATTTTCAGTTTTAGTTCCCTTTCAGTCTCATCTCATCTTTTACTTTTTTCTAAGTTTTGATTTTATCATTTGATTGAATGTACAATGTCAAATGCTCAGATACATTTTGCTTCAATGTGACTGACAAATGTTACTCCTCTGCTCATGTGCCTGGATGTCTAAAATCTGCCTTCCCATGAACTAATTTAGGTAAATATTTTGGGCTAGATTATTTTCTCTAGTTAATTTATTACAAATCGTTCCTAAAGAGAAGAGGCAGAATGGGAGACTGAACAGGTAAAGTATGGTAAGAGATGAGTTTATAGTTAAGAAAGTTATGGGAAAGGAGCATCTGGACTGTCAGAAAACGTCAGGGGTAGTAGCTTATCTATGCAGAAAGTAACAACCAAATGATTGATAGGATGCCAGGAACATATTGAGCCTAATTTGCTATGATTTAATGAAGCTAGTAGACAACAGCTTTAAGATAAAATAAAAATCAGCTCTTCTGTAGACTGTAGAGGATAAAACCCTGGATTGATCTTACAGTGAGTGATTCATGTAGATTCTAACCATAACTCTGATACTAACTTCTAAGAAGGATAATTCCCTTACCACCTTCTGAGCCTTTCTGTAGATTTTTTTCAGAGTATGTTGGTTGCATAAATTGAAGTAAGTTGCCATAGTATAGTACATTCCTTCATTCTTTTCTGTTTTCTGTCCTTACCCTGAAAGTATTATAGATGCAGTATTATAATTTCATAAGTCTTCTAATCTTTTGTTTCTTTTTTAAAATTTTACATTTATTTATTTATTATTAATTTTTAAAATAAGTATTCATACATTAAAACACAATACATAATTTAGCTTGTGAATAGACTTTACCCAGCATGATATATACCTCAGTCCAGCCCAGTTGAGACTATTGTACACATCCTCGTCAATAGATAAAAAAACCTTATCTGTGTCCCACGAGTGTCTTACATCTCCATTTTTCTCCCAATTTCCTTTCCTACATTATTACCCTTCCACACTCTTTTTCCATTTTGTCTCTAGTGTCCATTACATTTTTTTAATGCTTTTATGTTCTCCAGTCTTTCAGTCTCTACCATAAAGTGCAGACAATCGGTATATTTTAAGTGGAGACATATAATGTCTCTCTTTCATAGCCTGACACCTTGTTTTTTTATGACTGAATAGTATTCCATGGAGTATATGTGCCATAATTTTTCAATCCATTCATCTGTTTGTGGACATTTGGGTTAGTTCCATGTCTTAGCAATCATGAATAATGCTGCAATGAAAATAGTGCAACCGTAAGTGTTTTTTCCAACTGAGTGCTCTCCTGTCCTTTGGGTAGATACCCAGGAGTGGAATTGCTGGATCATATGTTAGTTGTATTTGCAGGTCTTTGAGGAATCTCCATATTATTTTCCATGGGGACTGGACCAATTTACATTCCCACCAACAGTGTAGGAGTG